CGCCCAGCCCGCTCTCCCGGCCGGGCGGCAAGAAGGGCCTGCCCGTCGTGGCGGCAGCCGCCTCCCCGGTGCTGTTCTCGCCGGCGGCGCGGAGGAGCGGCTCCCTCTCGGCGCGGTGAGTCCCTCCCCTCGTTGTTAGGTGCTGGAGCCACTGTGGGTTACATTATAGTACTGTACATTAAAGCCGTAAATATACGGTGCCTCCTGTTCAGCGTTATGAATATCTCTTTGTAGGTTATAACTCCTATATCATATGAGATGTAAGAACTCCTGTATTTAAAAAGAAGATAAAATAAGCAAAGTTCAGGCATTTCACCCCTCTCCTCAGCTTCTTCCCCTGTTTTCCCCCTTCCATATGGATCAAAACTGAGATACAGCATGAGCCCCAGATCAGTTTCAGGCTTCATAATCTCTTAGGCAATTTGTCGTGTTGTTGAGATACAGAGGATTGCCCATGTTCAGTTTTAGGGAACTTTTACTTCAAGTCTACTTAATTTTTGCAAACCGTGTGTGAGGATTGTCTACTAGCTATGTATCAGCTTTTGCCATTTCACACGGGAAGGTCTGAGACATCATTTCACTTGTGAGGAGAAATAAAACGGGGGCATTAACTTCTAAAAGCAGAGAAATTTGCCCACCTAATTGTGTTCAAAAGACAGCAGAGAACTGTGCTGTTCCAGAGAGAGAAGGTGAGGAAAGATGCAAAGCAGCTTTTATAAATGATACTGTGAAAGAGGTAGGCAGTGTAGTCTCCACAGCAGACTAAGGGTGGTAGAAGTGCTGTTGGATCCAAGCTGCTGTGGGTGTTTGAAGTGTTGCACGGTGTGTATTGCCCAGCTGTGCCAGAGTTAGGGATGGAAGTGGGCCCTGCAGTCAGGGAAGAGCTTCTGCTGAGCTTCTCCTGACGTTGTGGATGTCTTTATTCTGTTGGTAACCTGAGTGTAGGGAAGTTGAGTTTGTTGCTGGTGGAGTAATGCCTATTCAAGGTCAGTTCTTTAAAAATAAAGGATTTGATGATTACAGGCTAGCAGCCTGTAAGGAAGTCACAAAATTATTGCTTTAGGTGGTGTTCCCAGAGGAGGCATGTTTATTTTACATAAATCTGTTTGTAAATAGATACTCATGAAGTAAATGTCTGCTGAAACTGATGAAGGAGCAATAAAAAGTTAACTGTAACTTTTTGTTTTGTTTAAGAGCGACTCCTACCAGAGTTATCCAGCTTCCTACAGCAACTGAGACTATTAACTATGATGTTAAGGCTTTTGGATCCTCTCTGCCTGTTAAGGTTATGGAA